TTTGTGTTTTAAGGGGGACTAGATAAAGTGGTGATCGCAGGGACTGGACGGTTGCCAACCATTACGTCACCAGCTAGAGCCTGTTCTGCTATTGTTGCTGCGTTTCTCTCTTCCCCCCTTTTTATTATTATGAGCAGGTTTATTCTTCTGCCCCTTGTGGTGCTGAGGTTCCAGGAACCTCTCGCTGACCCCCCAAACCCTAGGCTCAGGGCAAGAGTCACCGCTCAGCCCCTAACACAATGGGCCAGTATTTATTGGGACATCTGCGAGGCCATTCGGATGGCCTTTGTTGTTGTTTGTCACTTGGCTTTCCTTTCTCTCCCTCTAGAGCTTATTTTTTGTGGGTCTGATCCACCCCCCGTCTCCCCAAATTCCCCAGATATTTATCCTTAGCCTGGCCTCTGATGAACGGCTCCCCCTTTGCAGGGACTCTGATGAAGCAAGTCACAAACTAATCTGGCAAGACTTTCCTGCTAGCTGTATTATTATGGTTGAGCTCGCCTTTCCTCTGCAGCTCTCCGCTGTTCAACAGCCTCACAAAGGCATCGCCAACACACTGAAATCCTTCAGTCCCAGGGAATTATGATTTCACTTTCCCTAGGACATTGGCATTCACATGATAACACACAAGATTAGCAGCCGAGCAGCACAGTTTCTTCTACATTTCTTCCCATTTCTCCCCTCCCCCCCAAAAAATCACCATCACCTGAACACTGGTGAAGCTGTCGATTTTTTAAAAACTGTCAAAGCTCTAAACACATAAGTTATTATGTAACATTTGTTGTTTGACTGCTATCTTCTCTGCCAAATTCCGATTTACCTATCAATAGGTATTCAGTACAGTATGCCCCCAAAAGGCAAAGGGAAGAGGAGATAATTGGGCTCGTATTGGTAACAATATGACTGGGTTTTGTTACACTTGTAAATTACTTAAATGCTGCAGTATGTGTATGTGCATCGGGCTTTCTTCAAAGCTTAAAAAGATCCTTAAGTAATGAGCTAACTCTATATTTCTGAAATTGCAAACTAAATTTAAATAGGTGAGGTAAAGGGAAAGACAAAACTTATTGTTTTGCAAGGAGAACTGACTGGGGGAGGGGATGGGTTTGAGGAGGGGTGTTTATCTTGCTGCTCTAACTAGCATCAAGTGGGGGAGAGGGATACTCGGTGGTTTGAGCATTGGCCTGCTAAACCCAGGGTTGAGAGTTCAATCCTTGAGGGGGCCACTTGGGGATCTGGGGCAAAATCAGTACTTGGTTCTGCTAGTGAAGGCAGGGGGCTGGACTCGATGACCTTTCAAGGTCCCTTCCAGTTCTAGGAGATAGGATAACTAGGCAGGGAAAAACTAAATATTAATCTAAATGTCAAAAGCTATGGAATTTGAATTGGTGAGGGGGAATCTAGGATAATTTTTAGCAAAGACAAGCATACTTGGTTGGGGGGCTGGAGCCTCAACTAGCCTCTAGAGTCACATACACTAGAGCAGTGGTTTTCAACCTTTTTTCATTTGTGGGCCCATTTTTAAAAAAATTCAAGTGGTGGTGTGGATCCCTTTGGAAATTTTAGGCCTAGTCTGCAGATCCCCATTGGTCCATGGACGACCGGTTGAAAACCACTGCAGGGGTGTAAAACCCTGTCCGTATATAATGCCTGCATCTTCAGATGCATGGAATGAAAATTACAGAAGTGGGGGTTTTTACCCACGAAAGCTTATGCCCAAATAAATCTGTTAGTCTTTAAGGTGCCACCGGACTCCTTGTTTTTGTAAAATCCTTGTGGGTCAGACTGGCAGCATTTACTTGCACAAGTGTAAGCAACTACACTTGGTGCAAGGTGGTGGACAACTGGGCCCAGGGAGTTTCTGAGAAGGCAGGGGTAGAGAGTGCCTGCAACGTCTAAGCCATTTGTTTACCTGCCTGCCAGAAGAACTGAGCTCTACAGATG